GCGAGGACCACGTTTGCTAGCTATGAGGGATATTTCACCTCCTTGATGTGCTTAATGGAGAGGAGCATGGCGACCTCCTTCTTCACAAATTCTCTCCTCTCGGCGGAGAGGGGTCTTCTTCGTTGTTGTACTGCTTTTGCCGAGGGGTCCACCGAGAGGCGGTGGGTGATGACCCTTCGACTGATTCCCAGCATGTCCTCCGGCCCCCATGCAAAGACAGTGGAGTAGGCGCGGAGGGCGTCGGTGATACCGGTCTTGGGATCTTCAGGGAGCTGGGCTCCAATCTTCACGACTCTCTCCGGCTGGGCCAGATCGAGCTCAAAGTCTTCTACGTCCTCGGCCGGTTCAGCCCTCGGCCTTTTTTCTTCTTGGTCGATGGTTCCGGTGATGGTGTCAACACGGAATTCCGTCTTACTTACCTTCTTAGTGACTTAAAGATAGCAGGCGCGGGCGATTTTCTGATTCCCCCGGGAGTAGCCAATGCCCCCCTCGGCGGGGAACTTGAGGCAGAGGTGCCTCATGGAGATGATGGCCTCGAGGTCCTCGAGGGCTGGCCGGCCGAGGATGATGTTGTGGGCGCAGTCGATGTTAACGACGACGAACTCCACTTCGAGCTGGGCTCTATGGAGCCCGTCGCCGAAGATCACCGGGAGGGTTATTACCCCCTCGGAATCAATAGTGTCGCCGGTGAAGCCGGCCAGAGGGGTCTTAATGGGCCGAAGGGACCCCCTCTCCAGATGCAGCTCTCTGAAGGTGCTGAGGTACATCGCATTGACGGAGCTGCCCGTGTCAATGTAAGTTCGGTGAATGATGGTGTCGTTTATTTCAGTCCGAATCACCAAGACATCCCTGTGAGGAGGAGAAGTAGGAGGGAGATCTGCGTTGGTGAAGGTGATGGGTTCCTCCCTCAGTCGCTTTACCGGGGGCATATGAGTGACTTCCCCCACGTAAAGCGATTGAGCCCACTTCTTTCGCTGGCTAGTGGAATCGCCCCCTGTATTGCCACCGGTGATCATGAGGATGTGGCGTTTTTTCTCCTGGTAGTGGGGGTATTCCTCCTCCTCTTCTTCCAAGTTTCCAATCTCCCTCTTCTTGCCGAGGGGGATGGTATTCGGGTTTACCCAAGCGTTCACCTTCGTGTGGATGGTATTCGGGTTTACCCAAGCGTTCACCTTCGTGTGGTGCCCTCGGGGAGGCCCCTGATGAGAAGGTCCCTCCTGCCGAGGGCTCTGAACAAATTGGGACAGGTGCCCTGCTTGTATTAACCTCTCGATGGCCGTCTTTAGCTGATGGCAGTCATCGGTCATGTGCCCCTGGTGCCGATGGATGCGACAGTATGGGAACTGAGGGTTGATAGCATGTACCTCCGGGGGTGCGCGAGAGTCGCGCTCAACGAGGCCCCTCTCCTCGGCAAAATCGAGGATGATGCTGACGGGGTGCGTCAATGGTGTCCGAGGGCGGTCCAGGAGAATGGGCTGTGTCCAAGTCTTAGGGTTGCTCTTATAACCTCCCCCAGGCTTGGCTTGGCCTTGCCGAGGGCGGTCATCAGAGGGTCCTGAAGGTTTGGGGTGATTTGGAGGAGCCCCCGGCCCTCGATTGTTTTTGTTGTCAGCCCTCGGGGGCTGCTGATCCGGATGCTGATGATATTTTTCCACCTCCTCGGCCTCAGCATATCGCCCCCCCCCCCCCCGCTGCAAAGCCCTTATGTAGTCGCGGGGGGGTTCAATGATGAAGCTCCTTGAAAAGTTGCCGGTGCGGAGGACGGTTTGTAGGAGAGCTAGGAGGGTCCCGTCATCAGCACCGTCGACTTTGTCGGCTTCCGTCCTCCAGCGCTCCAGGAAGTCCCGAAGGGTCTCATCCCTCTTTTGGCGTATTGTTAGGAGGTGGGAGAAGTGCTTCCTTGTGCGACGCCTCCCGACAAATTGTGTCAAGAATCGCTGGGCGAGTTCTTGCCATGAATCAATGCAGCCCTCGGGCAGCCTGTTGAACCATTCGTATGCCGGCCCCTCTAAGGTGGAGAGGAACCAACGACACAAATATTCGTCCGACGCCCCTACCATCATCATGCTGTTCTGGTATTTGCTGTAGTGTTCCTGGGGGTCCGTTTTTCCGTTGTAGGGCTGTATGTGTTGCCCTCGGTATTTTTCCGGGATCCGGGCCGCCAATACCCTTGGGGTAAATGGCGTCCGAGTCCGGAGCTGGATGACGGGTTCCCCAGAGCCCTCGGCCACCTTCTTATGTAATTCCTCCATTTTGGCCATCATGGCCTCGTATTTGAGGTCTGAGTGAGGGGTGGAGGTGGTGGCGTGAGCTTTGTTGGACTCCATTTCGTCAAGCCGACGTTGGAGGGCCGCAATAATCTCGTCCCGGGGATCCTTCGGGAGGGTCTCCGCCCCCTGTGAACGAACCCGGGCCGAGTGGGCCTGGTTGATCTGGTGGCGAGCATCATTGGCATGAAGGGGTGCCTTGCCTAATTGCCTTTGTCCCGAGGGGGACGCTCCTCGTCTGCCCTCGAGACAGACCCTCCGCTTTCCTGGGGCCTTTGGAGTGCTTTCCCTCCGAGGCGGTCTTGGACCCCTCGGCGGTCTGGCCCTCCTCCGAGCCGGTTGAGGGCGGAAGTGCGGGGCCTTTCTCTGTCGTCATGGTGGCGGTCCCGGGACTGAACTTCCTGGGAGGACGTATCTTGGGCCACTACCCCTTCGTCATTCCTAACCCGAGGGAGGGGGTTGCCGAAGGGGTGTGGCAGATGGGGAAGTATGATGTTCTCCCCAACCTGGGGTTGAGCCGGGGCCAGGGTGCCGAAGGCACCCGGGTTCTGAGTGAGCGTTTGGATGAAGGCGGAGAGCGCCGATTGCACGTCGATGGTGAGAACCGGAGGGCTGACTTGGTCATCGCTCCGGTTCTTCTTCTTGGCCTCGATGCCGAGGTGGGCATCGGGGGCATTCTGTTGGATCTGAAGGCGTAGGTCGACAGCCGCCTGTTCCAGCCCAGCGATGACACCGCCCTCGGGAGCCCTGTGAGAGGCTTCGGGGGCGTTGACGTCGCCGAGGGCCAGGTTCTTGTCTTCCACGTTTTTGGAGTTGGCACGCGTTGTTCTCACCATTTTGGTAGAGGGCTAGTGTTTGGCGAAGGGGGAGGGTTTCTTACTCGATTGTTCGACCTCTCAACGAGAGCACCAAATGATGGATAGTCTACCCGGGGGTATATATCCGAAGGGTTATTGCTGGGAATAACTTAGAGAGAAGTCAGAGCAAGTAAATGTAGAGAGAGAGTGTATTATAAATGTGGAGCGTTTTCAGCGTGGTTACAAATGGGGAAATGGGGTGCTATTTATAGTAGCAATAAATGCCGGACAGGGACACATGTCAAGCGCCTATTGGCCGAGGGATCACCTCAACTAGTTGGCGTTGGCAGCCGCATGTGGCCGCATTTAATGCGGCTGTTGGATGGGACGTCTGTACAGGGTACGGTGATCTGTACGCATGTGAGGCGGATATCATGTTGGGAGAGGTGCCCTCGGCTGAAGAGGACTAGCCGAGGGCTCTTAGTGCCGAGGACCCCTGAGTGCCGAGGGCTCCAGGTGCCGAGGGCTACTGTTTTCGCCATTTTCTCCCAGTTCCTCTGTTTGTTCGAAATATCCATGCTGTGATAGTTTGGAGCCTTCGGCCAGGGGGCCGAAGGCACCCCTGGTGCTTATTGCGGGCTGCTTGGTATTCTGGGCGCCGTGATTTGGGCCTGTTGGGCCTTCTGGGCCTGTTGGGCCTCTACTGGAGTAGTAGGAGTCTGTGGGCCGGGTGTTCTCGGGCCATATACTCCATCAATTTTATAGACAAATTTCATTGATTATAAGAGTTATATTAAATTAAATTTAACAAATATTAACATGAGGGGGCATATAGTGAGAATGATCAAAGCTGAAGGGGTAACTAATTGATTTTTGAAAATGCAAGGTTGCATTAATAATTATGACATAACGTTAGGGGGTTAATAGTATTTTTCCCTAAGAAAAATCTCATTCAAAGGTATCTTATTTGCAAACAGCCTTAATATGATTAATTATTTTACTCAATTATTAGTATATTTTCTAATGAGAAATATTAAGAAAAATTATTTATAATAAGTAGTTTGTATATATATAGTAATTTGATTCTCCCTCTCTCTTGTTAGATGACACAAAATCATAGAATATTTTGATTCTCCAATTGAAAAATTGTTACAACTCTGAGACTTGTGTGCACGTGAAAAATGAACGGAATGATTTTGGAATAGGGAATCAAACTCGCGACGAAAGTCAAAGGAATAAATAGTATGGACTCTGGAGCTGGATAGCTGCTTCATGGGAACAAGTTGAAAACTGAATGCCGTTACGGTTAACAAGCATGCTTGGAATGAGATATGGAATTGTTCGACTGCAACTGATATGAAAGAAGAGAAGAAGTCTCACAGTTGATCAGAATTACAAAAATACGGGTGTGTATTTACACCCGGTGTAGGGTATAATTTGCGCGAAGTATTCCTCTTTCACTTTTAATATTGCTACTCGCTCCGTCCCGAAAAAGTTGGCCAAAGTTGACTTTCACGTGTATTAATTAATAAAGTAAAAATTGTGTGGTTGAAATTTGTGCAGAGGAGAGAGAATTAATTTTAATCACATATTCCTTACTTTAAATAGAAATGACAAATCTTTTTGGGACATAAAAAAATGTACTACCTCCATCCCGAAAAGAAGTTTCCACTTTCCTTTTATGGATGTCCCAAAAAGAAGTTCTCATTTCTATAAAATGAAACCACTTTTATCCTAAAAGTCACAACTACCCTTACTTTTTACCCACTTTTTTCTTGATTTGACATAAAATAAGGGTAAATTTGGAAGGTCAAAACAAAATTTTAATTTGCATAAATACGTGTAGGTCAAATTGAGAACTCCATTTGGGGACCGATGGAGTAATTTTTTTTTTAAATTACTCTTGTTATATCTTTTTATTACTAAGTAATATGATGACGGAGTACTCGTAATATTTATGACTTTCTCCGTCTTCTTCACATCGGCACTTGGCTCCTTCTCGTCCTCGTCTTCTTCTTAGCCAAGCTTTTCTCTGTAAATTCTAATACTCCGTAGTTCGGTTCCCGAATTTTAAATTTTTACTCGTCCATCTCTCCCTAGGGTTTATGTTTCTCTAGATTTTTTCGATTCGGAAGATCTGTTCGGATATGCACTTTTCGCATCCCTCATTTCGAAGCTTGTGACTGGATAATAACGGGTTCATTTGAGTTGGAGCTGTATATGCGTGGATTCTCTCTTCCGGAGTCTATTTAGGGTTTGTTGAATGATACAGGAAGAACACAAAGATCTGAGGATTTGCTTTGGGAAAATTTTGATTTGTAGGCTTCGTGATGGATGTTGATTTTGATGGCGATGTGGCGAATCTTGATGCTGAGCTCTTGCAGCTCTCGGAGGTGTCTCCTCTGGCTATCAAAGCGAATCCTCTTATCCCCGAGAAGCTCTTTGATCAATGGCTGTCGCTTCCAGAAACAGTCTCATTGGTATTTTCTTTTGCAGTTTTAACAAGCTGTTTTACTGTGCCCAAAATTAAATTTACATCAATTTAAATCTATTATGTAAAACAGTATGTGCAATAAGTTCATTTCTAACAGAATGTGAAAGCAGGTATGCTTTTGGGTTAGTAACAGTGTTTGGATAACATTATGTGTAATAAGTGCACATTCAATTTTAGTCTGTTTAAAATGGAGAGAGTGATAACAGTGTTTGTTATCATACTTAGCTTTTAGCCTTCTAAGACTAAAGTGAAAAGGCCGCAAGGGCCGCAAGGCTGCTAGTAAACTACCCTTAGTGTTCGGAGCAGAATGTTTGGACCACTATAACACAATTAGACCTGTTCATTTTCATACTTCCTAACAGCTTTTCTGACCTCATAAATAAATTGGTTACTTGTCTATTGTATGCTTGTTAATGCTTTTCGGATTTTATCTTATGGACCCTTGTTAAACAAATGATTGCCATGGCAGTCGCACTAGCATTTGGGATTTCATTAGTTTTCTGGCAGTTTCTATAATGGCTACTAAGCATTTAAGAATACCTTATATGTGATTTTGGTAATAAATAGCTAGACTTTTAGGCTGATAGGATTTGCTTATTTAAGTCCGTTTTCCTCTTCACTGGTCAATGATGACAAGTCATGGATATAAAATCCTTGGATAGATTGAATACATTTACCAATACTATTGTGGAAAGTCAAACGCTCTCCACTCATCTTCTACGGGGGAAGGCAGTCTCCCAAGCATAGGTGCCTGTTAATGGGAATTAGCAAAAATCATTCTTCTTTTAATCAATAAGACCATTTGTAGTGGTAGGGAGGCAAAAATGTCAAAAATGGACTCCGTCCATATGAAAACAATGTTTAGACTCCCATTTCCATGCATTTCAACACCGTCAACAAAATACACTCAACATATTTTTTACCTATCAATTTAGTAAAACATTAATTAAATTATTATAAGTAATGTTTTTTAATGTTTTCCCTGAATAATTGTGAAATAAAAAAATACACATTTCGATGTAAAAATAAATAAATTTCATTATTTTTTTTTACATTTTTCGGTTAACAAAAAATGAACTTAGTCCAAGTAAAGTTTGATTATGGAATATTCAGTTATTTGTGGAGGCTCCATGAATTAAAATTTTGTGTTTCGTGTTTTTCGGGCTCAAGAAAACTCCAATAGTTAAAACTTCAGATTTTTTTTCAATTTATATATTACATATTGGTATCATACGAAAGCTGATAAAAATTCATGAATTTTGATATATTTTTTGAAAAAATTAAAGAACAAATAAAAAAGTTATAAGAGTTGATTTTTTTTGGAATTATAGTGATGCAAGGATGACATCATCCCCACATCCATTCATTGCACCCTCCGCTTCTCCTTTCCCTATTTCCTTTCTTTTCCCTTTTCCCACCCCTATTAAACCACCCTCTATTTCTCACACCCTCCATCCACTTTCCCACTTTTAATACCCATTTTAGACTACCACTACATGATATTAGGAGTCCAAAAATTCCATCTTCAACATTTTGGGCTCCTAATACTACACCAGTCCAAATAGTCCAAGAGTCACAATCTTTAGAAATTATTGCTTATCACATCATTTTGATTGGGCACACATGATATGATAAATTGTGGGTTATGTATGGCTGTGTTGCCGTGTTGGACCTGAAGCCACTATGGATGAAGTAGCTATCTAGCTGAAGTGCTTTAGAGATTTATTTCACGTTGTGACAGGAAACTGGTGATACAATTACTGTTTGTTTCTTTAAGAGAATGCAGATTGTCAGTTTTAAATAATGTCGTAAACAAAATACTTTTTTTTTTACATTTTGTGTATCAAACTTCTAACTTATTCAATTTCAAATTTGCAATTCAATATACTACCTCTGTCCCAAAATAATAGTTACAAATTTTTTGGGTACATAGATTAGGATATGGGATAAAAAATCTAACTTACCCTCTCCTTTTATTGTAACAGTGAAAAAGTAAGTAAATTTGGAATGACAAGGTTGTAGACTTACGTAAAAGGAAGTAAAATCTAACTTACCCTCTCCTGTTAAGTATGAATTATATATTGGATGATTTTCCAAAAAAGGAAACATAACACTTATTTTGAGACAACTCAAAAGGAAATACGTAACTTTAATGTAATTTAAAAAAATGTACACCTGAACTATATATTAGTACTAAATTAATAAAAAATACTAATTTAAATAGTATTAGCCTGCTCAAAAGAATTGTATTAGCCTATCAAGGGAGATTTAACTTTAACTTCAGTCAACTGTCATATTACTCATATCCGAAATAGAGCACAAAGTGGGACATATGGAGTATTCATTTGTAAATCCGTTAGCAGTTTCAATCTTTTACTTTGAAAACAATCTAAATCGTCAAGTGACTACGAATTATGTTTTTTTTTTGACTTTTTCTAATTGATGGATAAAAGACGTGATTTGGGTGGCTTATGGTATATATGAAATACATCGAAAAGGATAGGAAGTAGTGCTGTATGAATTAGTAAAGTAAAAGAAAAATATATATGAAGCTAAAAATCCAGTTTGCAAATTTTGTAATACCAGTAGTATTTTGTACTGGTCCAGAAGAAAGGGTATTAGTAGTGGTGGCTATAAGGGCTCAATGTGCTAACTTCTTTCATGTTATATTAGTACTAAATTAAAAAAATACTAATTTAAATAGTATTAGCCTGCTAAAAAAATATTATTAGCCTATCAAGGGAGATTTAACTTTAACTTCAGTCAACTGTCATATTACTCATATCCGAAATAGAGCACAAAGTGGGACATATGGAGTATTCATTTGTAAATCCGTTAGCAATTTCAATCTTTTACTTTGAAAACAATCTAAATCGTCAAGTGACTACGAATTATGTTTTTTTTTTTTACTTTTTCTAATTGATGGATAAAAGACGCGATTTGGGTGGCTTATGGGATATATGAAACACATCGAAAAGGATAGGAAGTAGTGCAGTATGGATTAGTAAAGTACTCCCTCCGTCCCATTAGAAGGTTCACACTTTCCTTTTTTGGATGTCCCGTTAGAAGGTTCCCATTTCCATTTTAGGAAATAATTAACAATCTTAAGTGACAAATTAATCATTAAATATTGAAAATATTACATTTATAACATCACAGTTATCAATACTAACTACATTATAATATATACCTATTAAAATTATTTCTCAAAATATACTCGAAGTACTTTATTTAATTATTGCCTAAATAACCGTGCCGTTTTGCTATGGGAACCTTCCAACGGGACGGAGGGAGTATAAGAAAAATATATATGAAGCTAAAAAGCCCGTTTGCAAATTTGTGATATACATAGTATTTTGTACTGGTCCAGAAGAAAGGGTATTAGTAGTGGTGGCTATAAGGGCTCAATTTGCTAACTTCTTTCAATATTATAAATTGTAGTCATATTTCAGAATATAATTCATACGTTGAATCGAGGATCCTTCTCTATATGTGCCAATGCACCCCTCAAAAATATATTTTGTTTCTAATAAGTTTATGATTCATCTTCTATATATCATAGAAATCAAGTTATGGGGTTGGGTAATGATTTTGAAACTGATGAACTTTATAGTATGTTTATTCTATTTTATTCTATTCTCTCACTTTCTTTGTACTTCCTCAAATTTATTTTTTATTGATGTTTCTCACTTGTACAACATTATAGTCAAGTCACATATTCTTCATATACAGGTAAAATCTTTGGTTAACAATGCCAAGGGTGGTGGTCCTCTCAATGTTTCCGGAACATCTAGCACTGGTGCTGCCACAAGCAATTCTTTGCCGTCTATGTTTCCTGCTGGCAGCACACCTCCACTTTCACCAAGAAGCTCATCAGGTTCACCCAGAACCATGAAGCACAGGACTGGTCCTTCTCAGTTAGGTTCTCCTTTGAAATTAGTGAATGAACCAGTTAAAGAGATGATACCTCAGGTTAGTAAGAGTTTTGTGTTGCATTCATTTCAGAAGCATTTATGTGCACAGTACAAAGATTTGTTGATCTTTTGTTTAAAAAATAATTTGATGGTGGCAGTTCTACTTTCAAAATGGACCTCCACCTCCAACAGAATTGAAGGAAAGGTGCTTGTTTAGGATCAACCAGTTTTTCTATGGTCACAGTGATGGAATACAAATGCATGGTAAGGTTCCTATTTTTTCCATATTCATGTGCAATCTAAGCAACTAGGTGAACTTATGTTTTTTGTTTTCTGATCGTTAGGGCTATTAGCTCATCCGTAAATTCATTATCCTTTTTGTATGTCTTCTTTTATAAAACCACGTGTTGACTCCTTAATGCATCTGTTGTTCCTGTTTGTTGGAATATATTTGATTACATATATACTCCCTCCGGTCCCGAATCAAATTCACACTTTCCTTTTTGGGTAGGTCCAAAATAAACTTCACACTTCTTCTCCCTTCCTTATTTGGCAAATTCTCTACATCAAAACAGTGCAAAACAGTGCCAAACAGTATCACAACAGTGTACTCTACAGTAAAGTCAAATTTATTTCCTTAATTTGTGTGAAGTCAAAGTGTGAATTTGATTCGGGACCGGAGGAAGTATTTGTTTAGAAGATTAATATGGGGAAACACCATATTGAATACAGCTCGTAAAAAGGCATGTTTAAAGTGGACCTGTTTGTTTATGTGCTTGAAGTGAGTTGGTGTGCTATATAACAGTCATATTAGAGATGATCCCTAATCAACTAATCTATATTGTTATTTGTGCTTTTGACATTTTCATATGATTGCAACCTTTTGTTATGTACCGGGATTCTTTGCGTCACGGGAATGAAATAAGAATGATAAATGGAGAGGAGGCTGTGGAAAATTTGGGGAGTTTTCCTTCTCCTTGGTTTCTTCTTAATTTTTCTTCAATATTTTATTAGCATAACAAAGCTCCCTTTTTTAAGAGGGATTACATGCAGAAAACAAGAGGGAAATCCTAGAAAATTACTTCCTAAAATAGATTAAATAATCAAGGTATTCAAATCAAATCACAATAAACTCAATCAAGCAAATCAATTAGCTATTACTCCTCATAATTCTACTTGATTGCTCTTTTTATCTTTCCATAATATTATAATGTAGCATGCATCACCTTTAGTAGGTTAATGGGTATTGTATTGATTTCAATTGTAACCCAACTCTTCCACTGGGATTTCAGAATTTAAGTTGATTACAAAAGAGATATGCAAGCTTCCATCATTCTTCTCCACCGCTCTGTTTAAGAAGATTGATGTTGATTGTGGTGGTATTGTTACCAGGTAAACGTTTTAGAGGAAAGGGTTGAGCTAATCATTCCCTATTTAAATTCCTGTTTTTCCTGATATTACCTGTGATAGTTTGATAGGGACCTAGACAGTAATACTAATAAAAATAATATAATAATATTATATATATATTGTGATAGTGTACAAATGAGGGTTACGGCCCATGTAATTCATGAGCGTGGGCCGGCTCTTAAGGATAGGAAGATTATAAGAGTGGGAAGGAGGGAAAAAGAAAGGTAGGCAGAAATTCTGTTAGGCTTGGGCTTGGGAGAGAGAGGCACTCTCGAAATTGTCTCTAGCTTCTTCTTTGTACGCTGGTTTACCTAATTCTGCCACTGTAGCTGCTTATGAGTTCATATATATTATCTGAATTCCTACTCAATATACCTAAATTTCCATAGTGTGTATCTGGTATCTATCATAGTTTGGTGGAAAAAACCATTGTTACTTATCATACAACGCACTTGGTTGGCCTAGGTCGATAATAAGAAAACACTCTTATTCAGGGAAAATGTTTTTTTTAAATATTCGGTAAACAGATCATATTTCTTGGAACTCCTTTATAACTGAAATGCCAAAACATACAACCATACATCCACAAGCTCTTTATGGAAAAGCCTTTAAGCTCAAATTGAGGTTTCTAAGAAGTGTGTCAATTCGCTCCTTTGTGGTCTTAGACACATCAAAAGAACATTTTGTAAAGCATTATGTTTGGCGTAGCTTATGGCTTCTTAGAGTAGGTAAAATGCAATAAGATTCTCGGTAAACAAGCACAATATCTGCTTTATCTTTGTAATTGGATTTCTTGTTCTTTATTTTTCCCATTCTTCTGTTGTCTTCTGGGGGTTTTCTGTTTAATCTGTTAAGAGCGAATGTGTTCATTTCTCTTGCCTCAGGGATGCCTTTGCTGATTTTTGGGTGAATAGTAATATGTTGACAAAAGATCTTGCGACCCAAGTATTCACCATCTTGAAACAGCCAGATTTGAAGTACTTGACACAGGTTTTCCCTGCATTCTAGTTTGCGAAAGAGCATTTCTAATTCATTATACTTACATTTGTCAACTCATATGAAAAAGAACTTCAGCTTTAATTATTAACACTGAAAATAGAGAAAAGGGTCAAATAGACCCTTCTAACTATTTCCAAACCATCACTTAAGCCCCTATACTAAAAAAACATCATTGAAATAGCAGGCAATTTAAAAATCGTTCAATCTAGCCATATAACCGGTTTTTTCATCTGTAATAGCAAGTTTTATGTATTAAAAACTCTAAAAATTGATAAAATTCGAATAAATATAAATAAAAGATCTGAACAATTTAAAAAAATGAAGCTCAATATTTTTCGTGTTTTTTGGAATTATTTTTATATTATACATCTTTTTAAAAGTATTCAGATTTTAATTTGATGTATTGTACATATTCACTTTTTTCATTATTCTGATTTTTTTATTTTAACATTTTGAAATTAGTTATCTTTTTTTCTTCAAATTTTCGCTTTTATATATTATTATTACATTATTTTTTCAAGTTTATATGAATTATTATAAGATTTATTAATTTTCCTAATTTATTTTTTCGAAAAGACCTGCTATAGCATGTGAAAATGGCTTGAGTGACTGTACTTTCAAAGTAAGCATACTCATCATCATCATCATCATCATCATCATCATCATCATTATCATTACCCCATATCCACAAAGGCTCCCACCTACGGTGGGGTAAGGGGGGGTCGGATGTATGCAGTCTTACTCCTGTACTAAAGCATAGAGAGACTGTTTCCGAATGACCCATAGTGAAAATTGCGTAAAAAATTGCATGGACTGAATGTTGCTTCATAACAAAGAAGCGCAAACAGTTTAGTGAGCCCATTTGCTTTATCCCATCATATTCCCAAGCCAAAAATAGTGAGTCTTTTGCTCCATTGCAAATGATGGGAAAAAAAGTAAGCATACTCATATGATACTTTTTTAGTACATGGGCTTAGGTGACGGATTTGAAATATGAGGGTCTATTTGACCCTTTTCCCCTGAAAATAAGTTTATTTACAAAATCAAACAATTCAATATCACTTTTTTCGCTTCCTTGATGAGTATTTTTTGTCATTCTGTCAACTGGACTGTAGGAGGACTTCAAACCTGTGCTTAGAGAACTTTTGACTACTCATCCAGGGTTGGAGTTCTTACAGAGTACACCCGAATTCCAAGAAAGATATGGTAACTTCTCAAGTATATGTATATCTATTATGGTTCCAATTCATCTGGATATTTTGTGTTGGTTTGCCACATTGAGGTGTGCTTTAGATAATTTCCACTATGAGGCTCATTGTTAGTTTGTCAAAAGTTATAACGAATATTTGACCCTTATTCCTTCATATAATCAAAATTCCCTTTCCCTTAAGATTGTACTGTCAAACTAGTGCATTTCTTTCATAGTTATCTGAATACCTCAATGTTGCATATCTATTGGAAACTTAGTACAATTGAAATTGACATTAATGACTTCATGAATTGACATTTCTCTTCATTACTGAATAAATAATGTATTGTATTTTTTGCATCTTAACACTTAAACTTATATTGCAGCTGAAACTGTTATATATAGAATATTTTACTATGTGAATAGATCGGGGAATGGCTGTCTTACCCTCAGAGAACTGAAACGTTCGGACCTAGTTTCTGCAATGCTACATGCTGATGAAGAAGAGGATATCAACAAGGTCTTAAGGTAAAATAATTGGTCCCACAGGTCGGATGTAGGTTTTTGTTTTGTTTTGCCTTCTTTTTCCTCTTCTTATATTCTTTTGCTGTAACAAGTATATTTGCAGTACACATGTATTTGGCTTGGCTACACATACATACTCCACCCACCAAAGGAGATTGCTTTGGCACACATAGTTGAAAAGCTAATTGCTAGGATCGGAAAGCTAAAAGCTAAAATTGGTTGGATGAATTATTTATTGTTAAATTTTTAAATTTAAACCTTATAAAGAATTACTCCCTCCGTCCCGGTCATTTCTTCCAACTTTCCTTTTTTGACCGTCCCAATTAATTCTTCCAACTTCCACTTTTGGAAAAAATATGTGGTTCACATTCATTCACCTTTTCTTACACAACTACAACCATGCATTTCCACTTTATTCCCACTATCTATATTTGCGAGCCAAGTCAATTTAGGAAGAACTCACCGGGACGGAGGTAGTATATTTTAATCAGGGTTTAATAAAAAGGCTCGCCTTTTAAAAAGTTGGTTGTGGTGAAATAAATGAAAAGGCCTTGTTTTTAAAATACATAATAAAAGGGATTATTAGCTAAATATATCCCCAACTATTATCAAATTCACAAATCTATCCCATACATTCACTTTTATTAAAAAAGGCTCAAACTTCAACTGTTCTCACAATAATACTTTCAATGGATGAATTAGTAAATCTTAAGACGAAAATCATATTTATATTTCATATTTTTTCACTTCTTTCTAGTTTTAAGCTTATAAACTTGTATTGCTTGTATCTTATTGGTATTGATAAAAATGTGTAATTTTGAAAAAACAAAAAAGAAAAGCTTAATTGTTTAAAAGGATAAAGTTCTAGTCTTTTTTTAATAAAAGTGAAAGAATAGGATAGATTTGTGAATTTGATGATAGTTTGTGATAAAATAATCTAATAATCCTAATAAAAGCATGAACATATTTATTTCTTAAACACAGTTTAAGCTTAATAATAGCTTAAAATTAGCTATAAAGTTTAAAATAAGCTCAACTGACCTTGTCCTCGTATTGCTTGTTCGGGGGGAGGGGGGGGGGGGCGCTGGAAAATGAGTGGAGAAGGATATTATATTTAGTTCAAAGAAAGAGGGAATTAGTATTTCATGTAAGGAACACTACCAACTTTTACTATTAAGCACTTTTCCAAAATCACTTAAAAGGACTTTTACTATTAAGCACTTTTCCAAAATCATTTTTTAAAGGAATATTATCACATCTCATCTTTACATTTTGTATTTAGAAATAAAATATTCTTCATGGATCATGATAGCAAGGAAATATTTAATATAAAAAAATTATATTTATGAAAAATGATTATCCGAAAATCCTTCAATTAAGTACTCAGCATTTCTTTCTTCTTTACCATAAATTCAAAACTAACTTCAATTGAAAAAAGGTCAGAGATATCAGTACAAAAGTTACAACATGCATGTGTCTTATGAAACCTTTAAGTAGGCTCACTTGGTCTGTTTAGTTTCTCTACTTTAATGCAAATCCCAGTTGGAAGGTTATGTAGTTTAGTACAAAGACGGCTTTTTATTCTGTCGTGCTTCTCTCTTATGTAATGTAGACTTGTCAAGAATCTGGGATTACATGTTTACTTAAAGTGCTATTTTTTAATTACCTGATCAGGTGGTGTATTTTATCAGTTAATTCTTGTATTCTCTGCTGCAGATTCTTTTCCTATGAACATTTTTACGTGATATATTGCAAGTTTTGGGAGCTGGATACAGATCATGATTTTCTGATTGACAAAGAGAACCTTATCAGATATGGCAACCACGCGCTTACTTATCGGATTGTTGATAGGATATTCTCTCAGGTTTGTGCTCTACTGTAGTGGTTTTCAGATTTTCTATGCCCACTGTGTGTGGGAATGCAATTATTTGCTTCTACTTTATGAATGGTTGTTGCTTCAGGTTCCCAGAAAGTTCACTAGTAAGGTTGAAGGAAAGATGAGTTATGAAGATTTTGTTTACTTCATATTGTCAGAAGAGGACAAGTCATCTGAGCCTAGTCTGGAGTACTGGTAGAGTGATTTCCCCCCACTTAAAATCTTAAATAATACTTCATGTCTCCCACTGTCCCTAAATTACCTGTCCCAAAACTATTGCCCATTTCCTTCTGAGGAAAACTATTTCTCCTTTCTAAATATAACTCATCTGCATAGTTTTCACTTTCTTAAATGGCCGTGTCCGGCAAATTGGGTAATAAAAAATGTCAACACGAGGAGTACTCTGATTGCATGTTATTATGGATACTGCTAATCACGGCCACTAGGGCATCAATTAAGAAACAAAAATGAAAGTTTTTATTTGGCGATGGACAAATGCACTCGCCAATGGTTTTGAATTTCCCTCCCACACTTCCAATATTTTTTTATATCTTAACCTAAGCTCTTAGAGTTGTGGTTAGCATTCCTTGTATTATAAGAGTATGATTGAACCAGGTGTACTAGAGTTGATTTCGTGAAAGTGTAGGGAAGTGCAATTAATGAAAAAGAATAGGAAGAAATTGGAAGTTTGCCTTATTACTCAGGAGAGGATAAAACAGTGTAGTACACTGGCTTTAAAAAACGATTTTGTTCTCATTTCACCTTCCCTACCTCTGAAATTGGGATGTAAACAAATGAAGTGTAGATAACGGAGCACTTACTATCTTACCCTTTTTGTTGTATTTCAGTTAAGTGGCTCTCTATTTTAATTTGCATATATGCATTTGTCCAGTTCTTGACAAATTTAACTTTATACCTGGATCAGGTTTAAGTGCATAGATTTGGATGGAAATGGGGTTCTTACCAGAAATGAAATGCAGTTCTTCTATGAGGAGCAGTTGCATAGAATGGAATGCATGGCCCAAGAGCCGGTTCTTTTTGAGGATATCCTATGCCAGATTGTCGACATGATAAGTCCCGAGGTAACATTTCATGTGCTTGCAGCCTTTATATGTATTGACTAGTTTTATGAGTTATGACTCTTTCAGTCTTTCCCTATACTAATGGTTCAGTTGGGAACCCATAAGATGCTAGTGAAGTAAATCAGCAGGCAAATATGGAGGGGAAGTCTGAAAGAAAATTTTAGGGGGAAAAAGTTCCCTCAAGTTCAGATATTTGTTCAAACTCATTATTATTATTATTGTTGTTGTTGTTGTTGTCGTCGTCGTCGTCGTCGTCGTCGTCGTCGTCGTCGTCGTCGTCGTTGTTATTATTACTACTATTACTACTACTACTACTACTCTCTCCGTCCCATTAGAAGGTTCCCGTCCACTATTCTCATGGTCAACTTAAATTATTTTTAATCTTTTACTTTATAAATCAAATTTTTATCAAATTTACATTTTTTTATCAGGCTTTGCAGCGATTTTAATGTAGTTTCTGAATATGTTAATTTTATTTACTAAAAATAATCAGAGTGTGAACAGGGATTAAATTGCTTTATCGTCAGTCAAGCATCGTAAACCGTTCACGGGAACCTTCTAGCGGGACGGAGGGAGTATTATCATCATCATCATCATGATCATGATCATCATCATCATCATCATCATCATCATTTCTATTATAAAGACTATGAAATCTAAATACATGTAAAATCTAAAAAGCTCTACGCAATTTTGATTATTCTCAGAACTTTCCTAGGTAAAAGCCGAACATAGAAAAACCATTGTCCTTGGTATATTTTGTTTACTTTTTCCTACTGTTTTCTGGGTTCTCATCACAGCCTTAGAGGCTTCACAACTCATCCTGATTATATATTGGAAGAAAATCTACGTTTTTCTAGTTAAATGGTCTCTTCTGGCTTTTGAAAGAGGCTCAAATTACGAGTATTATTTCGGGGAGTATTTCGTATCTTTGTACACAAGGCAATGTCTAACATATAATGTAGCTGTCATTCAAGATGACACAAAATCAATCATTAACATGAAAATCTATTTACTTTCTTCACAGGATGAAAGCTATGTTACATTACGTGACTTGAAGGGAAGCAAACTATCAGGCAGTGTTTTCAACATTCTTTTTAACCTCAATAAATTTATGGCATTTGAAACTCGTGATCCTTTCCTAATTCGTCAGGTATTTAATTATGAAATATCTGTAGTGCTCATATGATTTTGATATTTATAATTATCAAGGATTGATTAATTTCTGTTTTTTGAAGGAGCGTGAGAATCCAAATTTGACTGAATGGGACCGCTTTGCGCATCGAGAATATATTAGGCTTTCGATGGAGGAAGATGCTGAAGATGCATCCAATGGAAGTGCTGATGTCTGGGATGAATCGCTCGAGGCTCCCTTTTGAGTTTTAGTTATGCAAAATATATGAAAGGTAAACTTACATGCATGGCTATCCTTTCTTGGTTCAACTATGACTAATTTAATTTTTAGTCTGTACTATTTACGTAGAAAATCGCACTTAGACCCCCAATTAGTTGACATTATGTAACCTGAGACCTATATTATAGTTTTGTAAATTGTCACACAATTGCTATGATTCTTATGTACTTCAAGTTCTTCCATTTAGAATCACCATTATGTATCAGTGTTGTTTATGGGGCCATGGGAGCATTCTCAGCATTCTATATTGTCGGGAAGGACAATATATACCATAGTACTAAACTGAGTCGATAGCATGAGGTACTAATTGTATCTCAATTAGTAATGAATTGAGGAACTAAACTTACAAAAATCTGAAAAATGGGTTCTATATTGCATGAAGGACTAGAATTGCACATCTCCCTTTGAGAACAGAACAATGTAAGTTTTATTGAAATAAGTGTACTCCATCCGTCCGATAAAAATCTTGTGTCACAAAGGTAAAACTTTTTAATTTTTTCAAGGTACAACTGCTATAAATCAAGTATCATCTTGTTAACTGCAAACATGCATGGAATCAAAGCAGAGGTGATTATATAATTTATATTAATGTGTGAGGTAAATTATTAATTACAGCTTGGTTGTAAAAACAGAAGTTGCCCTAAGTAGGAGTAATACAATGTGAAATTCCAAAAAAGAAGTATTGTGACCCCCCCCCCCCCCCCAAATAGGAGTAAATTACATTGACCTTTTAAATTTGTTTGCTTGATTAGCTATATTTATCATATATGACTGGGTATGACTTTTTTGACAATATTTCAGACTCGACCGTAGTCTTTAGTGGATAACCCTCATTTGGTTTTTTGCGATAAAGAAAAAACTGGTTGAGAAGTGATTGTTTTTTATATGGAGGGATTAATAATGAAACACATTGTTTGATCACAAGTGCTTAGGGCTTCCATTAACAACAACATTTGTGCTACCTAGTTGTTTTGTCTACCTGAGTATCATTATAACCTCTTACTTTTTTGGGTGATTAGGTGATTGTAGGGAAGTTTACTTGGTGTGGCGTGGAGTTTGAACAGGGGAGGACAATTTTGCACAGCAAACCCATGGGATTAGCCGATGTGTCTTGTTTCAGGAGAAGAAAAAAAGGTGGTTTTTTAAAAATTGCTAGAGGAATTTTTTGTTGCATCTGCATAAAAGCTTGGTTGCCAAGTTAAACATGATCAGTTCTACTAGTATAGAAGCAGCTCCTTCTGACTTAAAAAACAAAACCTCTCAATTGTATTTGGCGGCAAGTCCCCGCCAATTCACAATTGACAGATTTTGCTGAAAACCTAATTCATAAGGTCTAGCACTTCTTTCTTTCTTTGTTCATCTAGTTAGTTGTAAGGAACTGTGATTATTAATTTTTCTGTTTCTAGATAAAAAGTTAGGGTTTTTTTTCTTCTTTTCCCAACAAAAATGATGTTTCTCTAGGATGATGAGTGTTCCCAGGTGTAGTGCTTTTGTTTGTTTGTTTAAATATTCGTTTGTCTTTTCAATATCTGTGGTGTGGATCTCCGAAATGATGTGATTTGTAGCCTAACTAATTGCTAATGACTGGTGACTGTAGCCTATATTAGTAGTATATACATATATTAAAAGGGTTGTATGTTAACTTGACTTATTAGCATGTGGCAGTGCCACATCCTTGGGGGGTTTCTAATGGTGATGAAACCGTAGGGATGGACATGTGCTTTTTAGCCTTTTGTATATCCTACTAGTTATTTCTTCTGAATGTATTTGGGCATATGAATCAAAGGTTATCAATACCTTCCTGGATGTGGCTTTGGATTTGCTATTGTAATGAGCGAGCGAGATATATTTTGGTACCGGAGTACCGGACCATGCAGGTCAAAATAAAAGGGTTAATTTATACCATTACCCTGCAGGTATTTATTTAGTCCTACTTTTTACTTTTGGTCTATTGTTTTTTTGGCTTACAGTTATTGATATTATTTTCTTAGTATATAATATTCAAATTCAAATTATAATTATGTCCAGTAGAATATTGCATCAAACATTTTCTGTGCCTAAAAAGAAACATGGTCCAAATCAGGGGTGGACTCGGGCCGGGCCAAACGGCCCGGAACCGGACCGGCCCGCCACTGTGTGGGCCCGGACCGGCCCGGTGAACCGGTTGGTTGGCCAGTTCGGGCCACCCGGCCCGGTGGATTCTCGGTTCGGGCTCGGGCCCTTCAAAAGGTGAACCGGCCCGGGCGGTTCGAGCCTGGACCGGGCCATTTTTATTTTTTTTTTTGAATTTTTTTTGAGTTTTTGGGTTGGGCTGGGTATTTTGGGCCATTTGAGGTGATTAGGGTTGGTTTGGGGGTGAGGGGGAGGGGTGGGGGTTAACTAGGAAAAGCCCAAAAAAAAAAATACCTGAGGCCCGACCCGGCCCGGACCCGGGGGTTACCCGGGCCACCCCTTCTTGAACCGAGGCCCGGTCGGGCCCAGGCCCGAATCGGGCCTGAACCGGAACCGGTCCATGCCTGGTCCAAATGTGTTGAAAAAATGCCAAAAACGAGTAATCAACAATAATGAAAGCGTGAAACTGAAATAATAGGTTCATGATTTGTGCAAGGTGTATGCTATGTTTGGCACGCATAAGTTTCTACTTATAGCTTTTGTACTTTTCAAAAAGTCTCTAAATTTTTTAAAAGCTTTTTAAAAATTAAAGGCCTTTATTTATTAATATTACTGATTTATATACCGTTGACAAAAATGTTACTTGTTTTTAAGTTTTCCAATAATTTGACTTACCATATCATTTGATCTTCATTTAATATTGCATTTATTATTTTTATGTTCCATTTTTATAATGAATTGAGTAATAAATGCCTCTAGCCAACGTAATGAGAACTGCCACCACCATCGTCAGCTCTGCTGGTGCCACCGGTGCCGTCGTCGGTGCCGGTGCCTCAGTGACTTCTCAGTTACTCCGTTTCCAGTGACTTAGTTGTCTTCCTTCTCAGTGACTCCATTTTCCAGTGACCGTTGTATAGTGATTCTGCCTTCGTTGACGCCGTCGCCACAATGACTTTGCTTTCAACCTTCTCCATTGACTCTAGGCGTGGAATCGGGCCGGGTCGGGCTCGGCCGGGCCGTCTTCCTTTTTGTGAACCGTGCCTGAATCGCTAGCCTCCCCCGAGCCGGGTAAATGCTCGCACCGCCAATTCCGTGACCGGGCCGGGCCGGGCCCGCACAGTGGCGGGCCGGGCCGGGCCGACCCGGTTTGGTCCATCCCTAATTGACTCCCTTCCCCGATAACATAGTGACTGTCATACAATGACTATAAGTCTATAACACACAATAACATCACATAGTGACTGCAACTCTTCCCCTCACGCCTAATCCTTTTCCATGCCGTACATCTGCCCAATCCCTCCTTAGCTATAGCCCAAATCCCAATTTCAAATTTTCAACACAAGCACATATCCCTGCCCTTGTGTCCCTCCCCCATCCACGCCCCAACTCAACCTCGTGCCCCCACTCCCTACGAGTCACATCAAAAAGTTTAGATTTGTGGATTGTAAACAAAAAGGAGCATAAGAAGATGACATCAGAGGCGGAAGCTACGTGTTGCAGTAGTGGGGATATGCGGCGCTTTGAGATCTTCGCTGGCTGAGATCGTTGTCACCGTCGATGATAAAGAAGCTCGCTGCAACAGATCGCCGAGGTCATCCAATAGAAATATCGGCCACTCAAAACGTACAAATGATGGAGGGCGGTGGCACTGCAGAGATGAGCAGCGGCCGGCGAGGCGCAGCCACTTGCAGATGCGCAGCAAGGATGCGGAAGATGCGAATGAAATATCGAGAGGGTGAGTAGATCTAGGTATTTTTTGGGCATTAAAGAGTCACATTTTTGTCCATGTATAATTTAGTCATATTTTTGTCTACCTAAACTCCCTAAATAATATTGCTGCCATTGTTTCAAAATTAAAAGATCTTTTTTGAGATGCTACAGGGAGTATCATCTGAAAAAAGTCCGTGATTTTTAGTATTAATTAGTCATAACAGCTTGTATACCAAACCGAACTAAATCTGATGGAGTATATGGCCCGGGAACACCCGGCCCACAGACTCCTACTACTCCAGTAGAGGCCCAACAGGCCCAGAAGGCCCAACAGGCCCAAATCACGATGCCCAGAGTACCAAGCAGCCCGCAATACGCACCAGGGGTGCCTTCGGCCCCCTGGCCGAAGGCTCCAAACTATCACAGCATGGATATTTCGAACAAACAGAGGAACTGAGAGAAAACGGCGAAAACAGTAGCCCTCGGCGCCTGGAGCCCTCAGCACTCAGGGGTCCTCGGCACTAAGAGCCCTCGGCTAGTCCTCTGCAGCCGAGGGCACCTCTCCCAACATGATATCCGCCTCACATGCGTACAGATCACCGTACCCTGTACAGACGTCCCATCCAACAGTCGCATTAAATGCGGCCACATGCGGCTGCCAACGCCAACCAGTTGAGGTGACTCCTCGACCAATAGGCGCTTGACACGTGTCCCTGTCCGGCATTTATTGCTACTATAAATAGCACCCCATTTCCCCATTTGTAACCACGCTGAAAACGCTCCACATTTATAATACACTCTCTCTCTCTACATTTACTTGCTCTGACTTCTCTCTAGTTATTCTCCGCAATAACCCCTCGGATATATACCCCCCGGGTAGACTATCCATCATTTGGTGCTCTCGTTGAGAGGTCGAACAAATCGAGTAAGAAACCCTCCCCCTTCGCCAAACACTAGCCCTCTACCAAAAATGGTGAGAACAACACGTGCCAACTCCAAAAACGTGGAAGACAAGAACCTGGCCCTCGGCGACGTCAACGCCCCCGAAGCCTCTCACAGGGCTCCCGAGGGCGGTGTCATCGCTGGGCTGGAACAGGCGGCTGTCGACCTACGCCTTCAGATTCAGCAGAATGCCCCCGATGCCCGCCTCGGCATCGAGGCCAAAAAGAAAAACCGGAGCGATGACCAAATCAGCCCCCCGGTTCTCACCATCGACGTGCAATCGGCGCTCTCCGCCTTCATCCAAACGCTCACTCAGAACCCGGGTGCCTTCGGCACCCTGGCTCCGGCTCAACCCCAGGTGGGGGAGAACATCATACTTCCCCCTCTGTCACACCCCTTCGGAAACCCCACCCCTCGGGTTAGGAACGACATAGGGGTAGTGGCCCAAGATACGTCCTCCCAGGAAGTTCAGTCCCGGGACCGCCACAATGACAACAGAGAAAGGCCCCGCACTTCCGCCCTCAACCGGCTCGGAGGAGGGCCAGACCGCCGAGGGGTCCAAGACCGCCTCGGAGGGAAAGCACTCCAAAGGCCCCAGGAAAGCGGAGGGTCCGTCTCGAGGGCAGACGAGGAGCGTCCCCCTCGGGACAAAGGCAAGGCACCCCTTCATGCCAATGATGCTCGCCACCAGATCAACCAGGCCCACTCGGCCCGGGTTCGTTCGCAGAGGGCGGAGACCCTCCCGAAGGATCCCCGGGACGAAATTATTGCGGCCCTCCAACGCCGGCTTGATGAAATGGAGGCCAGCAAAGCTCACGCCACCACCTCCACCCCTCATTCAGATCTCAAATACGAGGCCATGATGGCCAAAATGGAGGAATTACAGAAGAAGGTGGCCGAGGGCTCCGGGGAACCCGTCATCCAGCTCCGGACCCGGACGCCATTTACCCCGAGGGTGCTGGCGGCCCGGATCCCGGAAAAATACCGAGGGCAACACATACAGCCCTACAACGGGAAGACGGACCCCCAGGAACACTACAACAAATATCAAAACAGCATGATGATGGTAGGGGCGTCGGACGAATATTTGTGTCGTTGGTTCCTCTCCACCTTAGAGGGGCCGGCATACGAATGGTTCAACCGGTTGCCCGAGGGCTGCATTGATTCGTGGCAAGAACTCGCTCAGCGATTCTTGACACAATTTGCCGGGAGGCGTCGCACAAGGAAGCACTTCTCCCACCTCCTAACCATACGCCAGAAGAGGGATGAGACCCTTCGGGACTTCCTGGAGCGCTGGAGGACGGAGGCCGACAAAGTCGTCGGTGCTGATGACGGGACCCTCCTGGCCCTCCTACAAACCGTTCTCCGCACCGGCAACTTTTCAAGAAGCCTCAGCATTGAACCCCCCCCGCGACTACATAAGGGCTTTGCAGCGGGGGACCGATATGCTGAGGCCGAGGAGGTGGAGAAATATCACCAGCATCCGGATCAGCAGCCCCCGAGGGCTGACAATAAAAACAATCGAGGGCCGGGGGCTCCTCCAAATCACCCCAAATCTTCAGGACCCTCTGATGATCGCCCTCGGCAAGGCCAAGCCAAGCCCGGGGGAGGTTATAAGAGCAACCCTAAGACTTGGGCACAGCCCATACTCCTGGACCGCCCTCGGACACCATTGACGCACCCCGTCAGCATCATCCTTGATTTTTGCCGAGGAGAGGGGCCTCGTTGAGCGCGACTCTCGCGCACCCCCGGAGGTACATGCTATCAACCCTCAGTTCCCATACTGTCGCTTCCATCGGCACCAGGGGCACAGGACCGATGACTGCCATCAGCTAAAGACGGCCATCGAGAGATTAATACAAGCAGGGCACCTGTCCCAATTTGTTCAGAGCCCTCGGCAGGAGGGACCTTCTCATCAGGGGCCTCCCCGAGGGCACCACACGAAGGTGAACGCTTGGGTAAACCCGAATACCATCCCCCTCGACAAGAAGAGGGAGATTGGAAACTTGAAAGAAGAGGAGGAGGAATACCCCCACTACCAGGAGAAAAAACGCCACATCCTCATGATCACCGGTGGCAATACAGGGGGCGATTCCACCAGCCAGCGAAAGAAGTGGGCTCAATCGCTTTACGTGGGGGAAGTCACTCATATGCCCCCGGTAAAGCGACTGAGGGAGGAACCCATCACCTTCACCAACACAGATCTCCCTCCT